TTGTCCGTATTGTGAGAGCATGAGCAGTCTGTACTATGCCTATGCAAAATACTGCTTGTCCACCATGAGTGCATACCGTTGCAAGGAATTCGTCTATGCACCAAGAGATGAAGCCTAACCAAGTTGTAAACAAAAAAGTGTCTCTCCTTATAATGAGGTCTCGTCAGTCGTGTCTCAACATTCTGCGTAGCTTGGTACTCCAATGTTGATAACACCTACTGAGCTATTGTAAACCCGATAGAAACCACGTCTTGGTCCACACTATGATTCCTGGGTGAGTGACATGTAAGCGCCTAGTCGTTAAATATGTGCCTAGATTGCCGTCTCTCTTGCGAACTCCATGTACTGGAATGGTCAGATCATTAAACAGGTCCTGCAGCATGGCCTTTCCGCCAAAGTCGCGGGAATATGCATATGGTCTCGGGAATGTGCGGGTTCTGACAAAAACACTGCATAATTGTTGACAAGAATCGAATAACTGCCGGATAGCTAGGACCATTTATTCTCCTAGCCTTTGCTTAGCTTCATTGCAGTTTCAGTCTTCCTGAAACACCTAAACTATGGTCATTTTGGATTTACGTGTTGAGAGAGTACTGATGAACTACATTTCACTCGTATGGTTTATTGTGCAACGGGATCCTCCTCAAGTTTATCATTGGTTTATAAACCCAGGCTTTTCGAACCTTCAAACGTTCATTTCATCAACGTGACGGGTAGGGCCCGAACCCGTTAATCCAAAAAATCATTTTCACCATTTCACCAGTCGGTTTGATCCTTCGAGTGGTTTCGTACCCAAACCACCCTTCATCTCACTCCTTTTGCCCTTTTTCTTTTGGGTTCCCTTATTAAAGCCAAATAGTAGGAAAAAGGGTACCCTTATTATTAAGGGGCTACTGGGGAACCTAGGTACCTTGGCCTTATGAGTCGAGGAGAACTAGCCATATGGGGTAATTATGCACCCGAAACCATTTCACCGATTTGTCATTTCACCAGTTAGCTTGGCCCTACGTCTAACCGATAAGCCATTTCAACATTTCACCAACTGGTTTGGCCCTAACCCATAAACCATTTCACCACTTCACCAATCAGTTTGGCAGTATGGAGGTCTAACCATATGGGAGGAATGAATGGTGAAGTGGTTTATGGGTTAGGGCCAAACTAAGTGGTGAAAGGGTGAATTGGTGAGGGTCTTAACCACATGGCGGCAATGAACGGCGAAATGGTGTGAACTGGTTGAGGGAGTTTTGCAAGACAGGATATAACATTACCCATATATATATATAAAATATGTAAGAGCACATAGCAACACAATAAGATGATATCACAATAGGTTCTCAGAGTGATCACGACCCCAACAAAGATGAAGAATCCGATCCAAACACCCAAGACGCCGACAGCAACCAATCCCGCCAACACCCACAAAACAATACTAACACCAAGAAGCCAGTATCAACATCCCAACAACCGAAACCACACACCCACAACAAACAAAAAAAAAAACAACTAAAACCGTAAACACCAACACTTTGCTCAGGCAGATAGGTCGGGGTTTATTGCCGTGTTCCCTCAACCAAGCAAACATATATATATATATATGCATATATGTATGTATACATATTCGCGTAGGCGGCGGGATCCCGACCCCAGCGTTTTGAAGATTTTCCGGGCCAGGTACGCTATTTAGCAAACTTGATCCTTTAAGGTGCCATTACGAATGCTAGAAATATCCTAACAGTTGAAACGTTTAGCCACCCATGGCTTTGATTCTTGAAAAATTGCAGCCTCGCAGTTGAACCAAACAATTGATATACATACATATATGTATATATAATCTAACAGAATCAAAATTTGTTAGTATGTACGAAATTGTTTATATCCTACTATGGTATCATAATGGTACCGCAGCAAAACATGTAGCAATATAGCAACATCGCAATCTAGTGCTATAGTACCGTAGCATCATGGCAACATAGCAATATAGCAACATAGTCATGCAGTAGTATAATAATATGGTAACATAGTAACATGGTAATATAGTAATGTAGTAATGCAGGAATGTAGAACTGTTAGCTATGTAGTATTTGGATAGCAAAGACAAGGGATGCCAGCCTTCCAAAGCCGTTTCTTCCGGCCCTGTAAGAATGACCACATGTCATTTTCAATGGGGACAGTCCCAAGCATCCGACTGCGTCAGGCATCTTTGCGCCTCCGTGAGAAGCAGCTTGAGACCCTAAAGGCCCCTTTGGGAATCTAGCCTTGGGGTGGATCTCGGCTTCTCCGTGATGTGGAAGGTGCAAAAGGCTTCGGAGATTGACCATATGTCAGCGGTGGCCACCGAGCGAGACCGCGAGCTGAGGCAGAAACCTCGGAAAGCAAAAGACTGCAGATCACATCGGTTTGCAAATCCTCGGATCAGGCAGCTTCAGGCAGACAGTCTGGGCCAGGACCCGGCTTTCAGCTGATGCTATTTTCTTCATGCTGCTCATGCCCAGTGCCAGGATGTTGTTGCCAAGCTGCAGGCAATCCTAAAGAAACTCGAAGCTCAGAGTTGGCCGGTGCTCAAGCGGAGCTATTGGCTGCTTCAAGATGTCATGTCAAGAGCAGTCGTCGAGCAGTGGCAGAGTCGTGAGAGCCCTGTCTTGGAACGTCAGGCAGAGAACAGGCAGCTCCAGCAGATGCTCGACAATGCCACCACGCAGGTTCGGTGAGTTTGCTGTTCGTGTTTCAAGCTTGGCAAACAATCCTAGCAGCAGAGAGCGCACAAGTGAGCCCAGCGACCAGTGCAGGTGAAGGAAGGCCTGGATGAGCAGATGGCTCTACAGCAGCAAAAGCTGCAGCTTCAGGAGGAGGCAGCCTGGATTTAGCATTGGGGCCCGGCTCTGGGTTGGGGGCGGGAGGGGGGTGGGAGGGCCCTGTGAGCAGACTTTCGACCAGGCACTTCCTTCAAGGTTCGCCCCTTCAAGATGCTGTTGGTTTTCAAGCATTTGGGACATTGGGACTCGGACGATTTTTGGGGAAAACAGAGCGCTCAGCACTTCTCCGGCCTCCGGTTAGCGCGTGCCAGTTCTTTCGGGGCATGCTGTGTTGATAAAGTCCAGCCGACCTACAGGGTTTCAGCTTAGCCCAGGGAGCGCGTTGCTTGTTTGGCAATGTGCCCGGTTTTTTTTGTGAAGTATGGCAATCACTGTATGTGCTCGCCAAAGGTGTAGATCGAACATGGGCCAGCCAAACAAGGTGACACCACAGCTGTTCGGGTAAAGGTCACTTGCACATGCACATACATACATACATACATACATACATACCCACATACCCACATACCCACATACCCACATACATACATACATACATACATACATACATACATACATAGGTGTATATGTGGGTATATATTTTCATCCACACATAAAGACGTCCATTCATCCATCCATCCATTCATCCATCCATCCATCCATCCATCCATGTTTATCTGTATATATATATATATACACATGTGTATGATATGTATATCGCTTACGTACGTACATACGTACGTACACACGTGCACATGTGCACACATACACATACACATACACATACACGCATACACGCATACACATACACATGCACACATACGCAAATACACACATACACACATACACACATGCACACATGCACACATGCACACATGCACACATACACACATACATACATACGTACCTGCACAAAGAGAGATGTGCATGCATACTTGGATTGGACACAGCACAGCACAGACAGACGTGCCTCCACGCAAAGAGGTGCGTCGGCTGGAGCAGGTCAGTCCCACGAAGACTCCGAGGTCGGGGCGGAAACCGAACACTACGGTGCTGCACGTAGGTGTGGTCAGGAGTAGCAGCTTCAGTAGCTGTTGTCCCAAGCTCTAGTCATCGCTCCTTGCTTCCTCCAGCATCCTTCAAAGTATTCAGAGGTTTTTCACCAGAAGCCAGGAACAAGCGAGGAGCCCACACCTCAAACTTAGTGAGCATGCGCCAAGAACACTTCGGCGCCACGATAACCTGCATCATGAACAGCTGAGACTGTGACGCCAAGTTGCACCCCGCATCATGAGCGTCAGTGGCCAGTGCAGTTGCCCGTGTCCCTGGCCATCATGAGCATCATGGGGCCGTCGTTTTTCTTGCCGAGGGTCGGGCAGGTGGACTAAGTGTATTGCAGCTAAACCAAACTTGCGACAGTCTTGCGACGACTCGACAGGGTCGGCTGCAGTGGAAGACATTGGGATCTTGCATGCTGCATGTGTTTTCTTGCACCTAGTACATTTGCAACGCATAAGACGTGAAAGGAACTAGTCCTCGCTGGTCTTATGCATCCTGTTGTCTGGCGGTAAACTGCGATGGGAGTTGTACGGAGGCGCGTGCAGCACATAGACGAAGGTTAGGTGTTCAGGATGATTGCTGGACAGAAGAATCTTGGTTGGAGTCCACGAGCTATGTAGTCACGGTACTTGCAGGGCATGGAGTGGCACAGGGAGCTTCATCACAGAACCCAGAGAGGTCCGCTGCAATGACTCCCAGCCGACCGGTCTCCATACCGAGCACGACCGTGGCGATGCCTTTGAACCCTTCTACTTCATCGCTGCCTGGAACTGGAAGTGACTGCCTCGGAGCCTTTCAGGGTGACACAGATGTTTTGTCTCCTGAGTTGCAGGCGCCGGTGCCACGATAGGGCAGGCTGGGTATTCTGGTGATGCATGCCTCATGTGACAGCGGTTTTCTGGCATGGCAGGATGACAGTTGATTCACGAAGTTGCGACTGCCGAACATTTTGGGCTGGACAGGGAACTACAGAGGCTGCTTGCAGCGACGTGCTTGCAGCGACGGAACCCAGTAAGCTCATACAGCGCTGTTGAACTGTACAGCTTTGTTAGATGCACGTAGCGAATGGCAAGGACAGCATGAATCCCCACTCTCCGGCAACATCTGAGAATTTAGACCGACCGTTTGCAACCAGCAAGCTTTGGAGCCATGGTCACTGTGGAGGCGACCGGGCTTCGAGACTTGTGCATGCAAAGAGCTCTTTACTGTTGAAGTCGAAGGTGGTTGTCAAGAAAACGACAGCATCCTTGTCCCTCGGGGGAAATGCCACCTTTGGGGACCTCATGAAGCGGCTCTTTACCGACCACGGCATTGATGTGTCAAAGCTCCCCGAATGCAAGTCTGATGCGCTTGCATGAAGGCCTTCTGATTGTTCCCAGCTTGCTTGTGCGAGTGCTGCTAGTGTCTGCGGGCTCTGCAAGGCAAGTCATCCTGTACCAGTGCAAGGAATTCCGCATGCCGCCTTACGAGCAAGGCCGCAGATTGCTACATAAACTCAAGGCCCTAAGCCCTGAACCACTAAAATCTAAACCCCTAGACCGCCTCAACCGCCTGGGACCCTAAACCTCTAAAGCCCTAAACTTCTACACCGCCGCTTTTCACCCTCCGTCGTTTCCGGTCTTCCTTTCTGCGAAGGCAAGCTCGTGATCTACGACGGCGAGCAGCGGGAGGTCACCGAGGTGGCCTGTTTGTGTCTTTTCGTCCTTCACGAAGCGATGAGAGCGGGCTTTTTTAATACATAAGTTGTCTGATTGTAAACTGAATATTACGAAGTGTATACTGTATATAATAGATTATGTCTATCCTCACTTCCAACCCCACCACTAGTTACTGGTAGATTCTTGAAGGTTGAACTCTTCGTGAACCCGTGTAAAGCTTGGGTTCGCAAATATGCTGGGTCAAACTCTTCCTCGCCCTCGCGACGGGTGTGATCCGAAATGCAGCCATGCAGCCAGAGTAGAGTTTCGATTGATATTCATACCTATCATGGGTCGCTCACCTTTGCACATCGCAGAATGCCTCGCAAAGTGTCTTGCTAGTGCTGCAGAAAAAGCATTCCAGCCTTTGTGCTGGAGATACCGCGGAAAAGTGCCTGCAAAAGGCTTAAACCCTAAAGCCTTGTAAAGAAACTTAACTGTCCCGCAATCTCGAAGCATACCCTGAAAAGAAGCACCCTACTGACCTAATGCCCAAAAGTCACTCATGGCACCCCGTGAGGACCGGACCCTGGCCGAGCTGAAAATCGACGGCTCCGAGGCTCTGGTTTGTGGAGAGCTCCAGGCCGAGCGGAGCCAAAAGAGTCTTTAAGGCCTCAAGGCCTTACGCAGGGACTTCGCGTCTATCGATAGACATGTTTCACTTGTTGGGGCGCCCGAACCACATTCGTATCGAAGGGTTTGACGCTTACCCACATGTACCACCACAATAGCAAGGTTGTCCGCTGCAAGCAAAACGCAGCGGACAACTTATAGCTTTAAACCATATAGATTGGATGGTGCAATCCAGTATAAGATACCATGAGACAATGTCGCAAGCTATCATGCCAAATAAAATCAGCCACTACAGTCGATCACTGTCTACATGTACATGATGTGCATCTGGGGCTTGTGGGGTCGCAGTCTTTCTGAGGGACCCGTTAATTGTTGCTGCCATATGAGGACGAGTGGTTGGAGGAAGTGAAGTGGGGCGCTTTCGGACACACTCTATACGAGGCCTTGTCAGCTTTGCATGGCTTTGCAAGGCTCATACCTGTACATGTGCCCGCAGAGGCAGACTACTTGAACCACCGCGAGTTCGTGATCTTCAATGGTAAATAGAGAGTGATGTAATGTCCCTGCTTGTTGGTAGCCTTAGTCACTCCAGTCTTCCGAATGTTGCGGTGTTGAGCTGCAGTGGATGCAAAAACGGTTGCCAGAAATCGCCGAAACACAGATGTTAAGAAGCTAGCTACTTAACAAGTTCGTTGAATGGTAGTAGCTGGCACTCTTTCTGGCAGTCGCTGAGATGGCCACACCGACTCGCGGAAAACTGCTTGCAAAGCAGACGTTGCTGGTTGCTTTTACGATGTCCTTCACACCCGAAGGCCTCGAACATGGCGTACACGCCAAGATCTCAGGATCTCAAAGTTGCCTGTGCGACGGAAACTCGGAGTCCCGTTTGTCCCTTTTCAGAGGCCCGCTCCCTTTGCTCGACCCGCCTTTACCTGGCCGGACCCCTTTCGGAGGGGCTCTGGGGGGGGGGGGGGGGGGTTTGGTTTTTCAAACTGCGGCTTTCGAGGTCGGCCCAGGCTCCCCCTGGTGGGGCCGTGGCATCCGTGCAAGGTCGGGAAGCCTTGTGGAGGGAGGATCCCTAAAGTGGATGTTGGATACCGAGGTACCAGGCTGATCTCGGCGCCGCAGATGACGTCAATGCCCGCGCAGTATGTGGTCGACAGGGGCAGTTATCAGCAGCCGACCTGGCCGACCACCGTGATAAACAATCCGCAGATCCTCCCAGGCCTGCCAGCTTGGAATGCGGAGGGACGGCTTTCCGATTTTCTCAAGATTGATCACGGCGGATGACGCCAGGAAGCCGCTTCACATGAGTGGCTGCCGATGGAGTCACAGTCACCAGTAGTGGTTGCTTTCACAGACTTCTGTTGATTTTCCATCGTTTCAGCGCTTGCAAGAAGAAGCCGAAGCCACATGCTACTGTGGCGTTGGAAGACTCTGCATCTGCACTGCGACAGCCGCATCCTGCTCCTTCGATGGCTCGAGCTTTCACGCTTCCCCAGCCCCTCCTACCTTGAAGGGGCACAGCTTACCATCAGTCAGGCCGGAGCTGCTCCAGGGCTGTTGAGATTCTTCGTGACAGCAGGCAGTCTTGCCAGGTAATGTACCAGCCATCTGAATCGTAGTTGGCGAGCATCTGGCCTCAGTTGTCTGCGGTGTCTTGGCAGTGTCTGCTTCTGAATGCGCGTCTTGCTGCCAACAGCATTCTGCCATGTCTGCACAAGCAACTCTAGGAGAGGCCAGAGCCGGTGTCATCTCATACTCTGCTGTTGAGACATTGGCAGTATGTATTCGTCCCAGTGAAGTGTGACCCGATATCAGAGTTATTCGCATCTCGGATGCTGCATGGTGCCTTGATGCTTTGGAGCCCGGGCAAGTCCGCGATCCAGGGCTTTCTTCAGCAGCTTGGATAGCAAGTCGTATTTAGGCCTTGCCCACTTTCTTCCTTACGGTCCCTCTTGGTCCTTACCAGATCTGAAACTTGCATCTGAGGCAGGCTTGCGATGACAAAGGCGTCGCTCGTTGTGCTTTCTGCCAAGGCTCGAGAAACGACATGTCGCAGGATGGGCATCCCGGAACCACCCTCTTCCGGACTCCACGCATGCATGCAGCCAGCGGGGCTTGGGTAGAGGCGCGCCAGCTCGTGAGTTTCAGTTCCTCGCTGCACCTTCGGCAGTCACTTGGTGCTTGCCGGGCGCGTGATCCTTGCCCTTTGTTGCGGGAATTGTTTTAAACTCTAGTCCGAAGAGATGCTGTGTGCCGCCTCTGAGCCAGGCATTCTCGAAGTGGGACGCGCAGGCTTCAGGTCTTGCATGGTCTTGCGGGCTGTGACCAGTCACAGACGTAGACAGGCGATGCTGATTGCCGTGCCATGGACGCTGCTGGCAGTGTCCCTGACATTCTTCATAGTGGTCTATGCAGTTGAGGCGCTGCCAGGGAGCTTCAGCAACCCTAGCCATTCTTGCCTGGGTCCGTGAAGGTCAGTTTGCCTTCCCTGCTGCGGCCCCTTGAGGGAGCCACACGGATTGCAACAAGCAGAATCCACTGCAGCCCAAACTCCCCAAAGCCAAGCAGACGCGAGGTCGTCGGAATACTGCAGTACCTCGTTGCGCTCTGCGCTGCCCTCTATCTTCCAGATCCTTGGCAGAGAGGGAGCGGGAGTTGCGCTTTTTCACGAAGCGCTTTCGGAGGCAAGGTTTCACTCTAGGGATTCTGCTCCGTCACATCACAGGGCAAGACTAAGATTCAGAGGAAATCGACACTAGAAGTCATCGGGGGGCCCACAACCAAACCGATACCACAGTCACAGTCACAGCTGAGCTGTAGGTGGCTTTGCTCGTGGAGCGGCCAAGCTCCTGTTGCTGGGCCAACGGCCCGCGCAGACCGCCAGAGGCCTCCCATTCGAAGGAAAGCTGTACTTGGTTCCTAACATGTGACCTTCACATCAGTAACAGTTTATGAGGGTACAACAACAACAACAACTACTACTACTACTACTACTGCTGCTACTGCTACTACTCCTGCT